TTCATCTTATTGCAATGACAAAACAATGTTTTTACCTGTTTGTAGCTAAGATTCAGGACGTTGGAAAGTTCTTGCATCTGCTGAAGGCTGAGGTATTTCTGTCTCTGAAATCTGTCATTGAGCACACACAGCTGGGTGGAAGAGGACACAGTTCTGGTCTTCTGTCTCTTGACCGGGACCTTGTCTTCCTTTGCTGCGGTGCTACTCTCTGCAGCAGTGGGTCGTTTGCCTTTGGGACTGGTGGAAGAATCTGGGCTGTCCTGAATAAGCAGATCCATGGAGGTGGTGCCAGCCTGTAGTCAAAGCTACTCGGGAAGCCGAGGCAGAAGAATTGCTAGAACTTGGGAGACGGAGATTGCGGTGAGCCGAGATCTCACTAAACTCTGTCTCAGAAAAAAAAAGTTAGCAATATTCTTTGTTTCAAAGTACATCTGTATTACTAATGTTTTACAATTTCTGTCACTCGCTTTTTCCTGCAGGTGAAGACCTGGTTCCAGAACCAGAGAATGAAATCTAAGAGGTGGCAGAAAAACAACTGGCCGAGAAATACCAGTGATGCGACTCAGGTTACAGGAAACTTGATTCTGTTCTTTTCTTTCAGTGATCTTTCAATCTTGTCCATCCCTGAAACACATAGCTCCAGTCACAGACCGCTGTGGTTGTCCTTGTACCCTTTCTGTTAATCCTTCCTTCTCTTTCAGAAGGCCTCAGCACCCACCTACCCCAGCCTCTACTCTTCCTACCACCAGGGATGCCTGGTGAACACAACTGGGAACTTTCCGGTATGGAACAACCAGACCTGGAGCAATTCAACCTGGAGCAACCAGACCCGGAACATCCAGTCCTGGACCAACCACTCCTGGAACACTCAGACCTGGTGCACGCAGTCCTGGAACACTCAGGCCTGGAGCAGTCCCTTCTATAACTGTGGGGAGGACCCTCTGCCGTCCTGCATGCAGTTCCAGCCAAATTCTCCCTCCAGTGACTTGGAGGCTGCCTTGGAAACTTCTGGGGAAAGCCATAATGTAATACAGCAGACCACTAGGTATTTGAGTACTCCACAAACCATGGATTTATTCCTAAACTACTCCACGAACATGCCACCTGAAGATGGGTGGAGATGAATGGAACTGACATGACTCAGTTTCACTCTGAGCACTGGCTGAATCCTTCCTCTCCCCACCTCCCCTCCCTCATAGGATTTTTCTTGTTTGGAAACCACGTGTTCTGTTTACATTATGCCTACCCAGCCAATCTGAATGGAGGGTGGGGTATGGTTGGAGCCTAATCAGAGAGGTTTCTTGGTTTTTTCCTGTTGGATCTTCCTGGAGAAAAGATGTTTTAATAACCTTGGCTGTTCAGGACACCGTGATAGACGCTGTCTCTGGCTAGAGATAAGTAGATCTAATACTAGTTGGGATATCTTTAGGGTTTAGAATCTAGTAAGAAATAAAATACAAATTGGTGTGATAAAGATATATTCCTATTTCGTGGGATTGGGAGGCTTTACTTATTTTTTTAAAAACTCTATTGAGGCCGGGCGCGGTGGCTCAGGCCTGTGATCCCAGCACTTTGGGAGGCCAAGGCAGGCAGATCACCTCAGGTTAGGATTTTGAGACCAGTCTGGCCAACATGGTAAAACCCTATTTCTACTACAAATACAAAAATTAGCTGGGCATGGTGGCGCGTGCCCGTAGGCCCAGCTACTTGGGAGACTGAGGCAGGAGAATCGCTTGAACTGGAAGGCAGAGGTTGCAGTGAGCCTAGATTGTTCCAGTGCACTCCAGCCTGGGCAACAGAGCAAGACTCCATCTAAAAAAAAAAAAAAAAAAAGTAAGCTCTATATAGTCTTTATGGTCCAAAATCTTAATGCCTACGAAGGTGAAAGGTCAGAAAATAAGCATTAAAGCAAAATTCACTACATAAACCACCTTAAGAGACAGCTTGAAAAGCTGCCAATAAGAACTTGGAGATGTGCAAACCTAATTTAAGGTTTTTCAACTTAGCCTTTTTGGGTCTCAGGGTCACCAAAAATATAAACAAATATAATAATAGGAATTAAGCAGAACGGAAATTATGCTCACATGCCAGGCTATCCTTTCCACATCTCTTCCTTTCTTCTAGGAAATTTTGCTTTCTTCGTTCTTTTA